AGAGTCTCGCTCTGTTCTCTAGACTAGAGTGCCGTGGCGTCAGTCTAGCTCACAGCAACCTCAAACTCATGGGCTCAAGCAATCCTCCTGGCCTTAGCCTCCTGAGTAGCTAGGACTATAGGCACATACGCCTGGCTAATTTTTTCTGTTTTTAGTTGCCCGGTTAATTTTTTTTCCTTTCTATTTTTAGTAGAGACGGGATCTCGCTCTTGTTCAGGCTGGTCTCAAACTCCTGACCTCAAGTGATCCTCTTGCCTTGGCCTCCTAGAGTGCTAGGATTACAGGCGTGAGTCACCGTGCCCAGCCGGGATCATGTAGTTTTGTTGAAGAACCAACCAGTCTAAAACAGAATTGAAAACTTTAACATAAGAAATACTCTTCCCTGGTGCACAATGACCGTCAATTAACACAGAATTTGTTTTGATACCTGTCTTTTGGCTAAGAGTGTTTGCACTTTAATAGGATTACTAAGTGAATACTGATAATGCTAGAAGAATCCCGGAGCTGAGAGAACAGTCTACTAGAATTTATACCTCTCTAAAGTGAATACCCAATTTTTCCATTCTTGGTTGAAATTCTTAATTGATTTTTAAATTTTGTGTGGTTATGTAAGTCCACCAGCCATCCAGCTCACATGGTACCTTTTTTCAGTAGTGCCTCTTTTTCTATCCAGGCTAAAGAAAGATAGATTCCATTATTTGTTTTCTCCTTCACATGGAAATCTTGGCAGGTTTTTAGAGGTGAGATCAAAGGGATGGCTCTGGGAGAGAGACATGAAAATTTGAGAAACGCTGTTTAGGTAGATAGAAGAAGCTTCTGAGCCTGACTCATTTTTTTTCTGGTAACTCACATGTGTTAAGAACTGGATCTGAAATCTCTTTTTGCTGTAGTTGTAAAAATGCAGTAGGGTTTGAAAAGCATTCAGTATGGGTTATTACTTTATTGAAATAAAACTCCTTTTCAATTTCCCTGTGTCTCTGTGGCATTTGTATTCTTACCGTTTCCTTTTACCCTTTTTCTGATTTTGTCTGTTTTCATTTCTGTGTTTCTCTACTTCGAACCAACACTTTTCTAAGCACTTTTTCTTTCACTGACCGTAATAACTACTTGAATGACTGTATAATAACGCAAATACTACTTTAGTTGCTGTATTTATGAAATAGAATGTTACATTTCCTATTTATAATGTAGAATTTTTAAAAAATAAAAATCTAGAAAAAATTGCCTTTTACCCAGCATGCATCCCAAGTTTCTTCCTTCTGTTGGTCAGTGGCTCATAGTGACAAAGAATCCCTACTTTTGACATGAGCATTAGTGCAACTTTCATCCTAAGCTGCTGGAATTACACACACGTGCATATATGGTATATACAGTTTTTTTTTTAAATATTGATCTGAAACCCAGAGGTATATATAGTTATATAAAATATATAAACATAAAAAAATAAATACCATAGTATCATTTCTATAGAATGATAAATTGGCCCATTGCTTTGCACTGACATATTAGCAAAGTTTATATTTACACATAACTCCCACATTTTAAAATAGCATTAAGACCCTTCATTTACAGTCAATAGAAAGGACATTAGTTTCTTTACCAACGTGAAGACTTCATGAAAAGGTTTTGGTTATACATGGTCTTCGTAAAGTTTGAGTTTGAAGCTGACTTCATTTTTTTTTTTTTTTTTCTGAGACAGAGTCTCACTCTGTGAGTGAGTGCCGTGGCATCAGCCTAGCTCACAGCAACCTCAAACTCCTGGGCTCAAGCGATCCTTCTGCCTCAGCCTCCCAAGTAGCTGGGACTACAGGCATGCGCCACCATGCCCGGCTAATTTTTTCTATATATTTTTAGCTGCCAATTAATTTCTTTCTATTTTTGGTAGAGACGGGGTCTCGCTCTTGCTCAGGCTGGTTTCGAACTCCTGAGCTCAAACAATCTGCCCGCCTTGGCCTCCCAGAGAGCTAGGATTACAGGTGTGAACCACCGTGCCCGGCCTGAAGCTGACTTCAAATAGGAACTTGTAAATAAATGTTCAGACCAAAGTGAAAAAGGGGAAAAAGCATTTGGGGCTATTAATATAATTAGAAAATTTCCGAACCTCTCTTATGGCTTATTATTATATATGGGTTGCTTGTATGTACACACTTAGCAGAATGGCCATGAGTAGGGAGTTTTATTTTTGACTGAGGAAAGTGAATCGAAGTACTGCTGGTTGGGTTTGCCATTCCCAGCCACCATAGCAAGCCATAAGGTTAGCCCACATTTAAAACAGTAAATCAACTTCAGTCTCTTGGCTTTTGGCTAACATTTTCTTTGGAAATATTTTCACAGAATAAATCAATGAAAAAATGGGATTCACTTACCAAAAATGTATTTAAATTGAAGTTAGAATGCTTCTATTTAGGATTATGATATACCTTATACTGAAAATAAATGTATTCAACATTTTTACAATCAACAATAATTGTCATCAAATACATGTTTTAAATGATGTAATTTTTTCATATATAGTCTAGTCCCTTATTTGTGAATTATATATTGGCTTGTTTGTCTTACAAAGTAGCTATCTATCTGAGGGACATACAAATGTCCGTAAAGGTCTGTATCTTATTTTTTAGTGCTGGTTATTTTTTGAAATACTTTTAAGGTTAAAGTTAATGGGCTTTAAGTATCTGTAACATTATATCACTTATGTGAATCTTTTGGGGGCCCTGAACAATGTCTCATACTCTAGGAAATAACAGAGTGCATGCTTTATTTATTTCAGAATGTAAGTGAAAGTATTCAAAACCAGATCTAGGAATGATGATATACTAGTTGTTATTGGATGCCTTCTCATTTAAAAAAATTTCCTAATTTAATTATTTTACTTTCTTTTCCAGATTTTTTTGTTGTATCTGTGATTATTTTGTATGTTTTCATATTATTCATCATGTTACATCCAGTTGCCTCTGTTGACCAGGTTCTTCAGGTAAGGCTTAAGCACATCATTTATTACTGGTTATCCGACGGTTCATAGTAACTGGGATAGCAATAGCAAGACAGTAATTATAGAACGTGACACAGTATTGCATGAAATCTGAATAGCCAAATGAGACTTCTGGATGTCTTGTGCAAGGGCTTAAGATTTATCCCCCTCCAGTGCTTTTATGTTACTGGGGAAAGAGACTAAGCTGTCTGCATTCCCCCCTGCCCCCAGGATCTCTTCTTTTTATATTTTCTAAGATTCAGTTATGTTAACTCAAAGATAATCTAAAAAGAATAAAGAGCATGATAAAGTAGTGGCTTTTATAGGCTATACCCATTCAGTCTCTGCATCTTGTCCCTTGTCCATTTCTCTAAAAACAAATTAAATGCCCCTTGGTCTTTAAAAACAGAAAAGCCCTTATTCCATTATCTCATTACGCTCTGTCCTTTACCAGCCTCCTTCTTGAGCAGTCTACACATGCTACCTCTTCGCTGGCCATTTAGTTTTTCATTTTTTTCATTAAAAACTTGATGAATGGTGAAATACTTGTTTTCAAACAAAAGAATGTACACGCATGTTTAAGTTATTAAGCATAATAATAAAATTGTAAAAAAACCCACCATGAATCCATCATCCAACCTAAAAAAAGAGTGACTTTACCTGAGTTTCAAGTCAGTGACAAAAACATAACCTTATCAATCAATAAGTCACACTCATGTGCCTTTCTTCGAACACCTCAAGGGAACCCCTGTTCTGATTTTTTCCCCCATCATTCTCTTTCTTTTCATTATACACTTACTCTGTATGTTTGAAGTCATAAGAGATTGTTTTGCCTGCTTTTGAACTTAATGAAAATGATATCGTGCTCTCTGTATCTTTCTGTGACTTGCTTTTTCCCATCAACATTGTTTGTTGATACAATGTATTTCACTGTCACTGCTGTATAGTATTACTAGGAATATAGTAAATTCACTGCTCCATTTTCTGTTGGTAAATAATTGGGTCCTTATAGTCTTTTCATGTATTAACTCACTTCCATGAACATTTTTTTTACATGTCTCTTAGTGTATGGGGGTAAATAATGGTGTACCAAAGAGTAGAGATGGGAGAAGTTCACTCCAGGTACAAAAAAATGAGGAGGTGTGAGGTACAAGAAAATGAGGAGGTGTGAGGTACAAGAAAATGAGGAGGTGTGCAATTCTGTAGAGAATTTAAAAACAGTAATTAAGCCTACTAAAAGCCTATATGCTTTTAAATAATTTTAAAGTACTGATTCAAGTCGAGCATTTTTTCATGTTTATTGGTCATTTTTATTTCTTCTGTGAACTGCCTATTTATGCCTTTTGTCCATTTTTTTCTACTAGGATGTTTTTTCTTACTTTTAGGAATTCCCATGTATTTGGCTATATATTGATAAATATCTTCTCCCAGTTTGTGG